TACATGCATTAGAAGTTAAGGCATTCTCCATCTGCAATTTCCAGATGCAATAGAAAAAAAAATAAAGGAAAGACAGCATAGAAGCAATTGCTCCTTCCCTAATTAAAAGTCTTCAATCACTCTTCATAGAAATTACTTTCTAGACTCCTGATTTGTTGCCACAAGGAAACACCTCATTATCCTGTTGGCAAAATTTCATCTCTTGTATGCGATCAGGGTTTAGTATTCTTAACTTCTAACCCCAAAATTAAAAGTATTGCAAGAACCGCATACTCGTGAGGACTGAGCAGTTGACATCTGAAATGAAATTCTGACTGCTGGAAGAAAACTTAAAATCAAAAGGAAGGGAAATACTGTAGGAAGGAGGGATATTCACAAACACATAGTAATCAGTTTCTGTTATCAGCTGTAACAGAAGCCAACTTTGCTACTCTAGATGGCACAGCCAAGGGATAAGCTTATTAAGGTGGTTCTGTTGATGGCTTTTAGTTTATGACTAAGCATATAGCAACACTCTGAAAACTATCTGCCAAAACACTGTTGAGATTATTGAATAATATTGAATAAATTTATGATAACCTACTTTTAAAGTGCATTTATTGTTGTGTTTTTTAGTTTTCTGTCTCTTTTGTTAATACATTCACATTATTATATTTGACATCCATATAGCATTTGAGTTGAACTATTTTCTGCATAAGAAATAAACTAAAATATCTTTGGAAACTAACATACCTGGGTATTTCACAAATTCACATACTTTGCAGGTTTTAAGAACATGGCACAGTAGAGTCCTCTTTGACCTGACAAACATACCAAATGTTTCATATTTCTGACCTGTTTTTAATATTTCTTCATTTTTATGTCTTTTGACCTGACAAACATACCAAATGTTTCATATTTCTGACCTGTTTTAATATTTCTTCATTTTTATGTCTTTTCTCATGCCAACTAGATTGTAACTTTGGCAGCAAAAAGCTAATCTGTGGCCAATTCACACACCTTAAGAGCCTGGAATCCATGAGATATGCAAAACATTCTAAATAAAATATATTTTGAGATACATGTAGCTGTTACAAACTTTCCAAGTTCAAGAAATATCTCTCTAAGCTTTGGAGAAAAACAATCATCTTGTTTCCCACTCTTTTGAGTATATCAATATACCATCAAGATTTGAAGTCCCATTAGATAATAAAAAGAGTTTTCCTTCTACTGCACAGAATTGTTCACAAATGACTGGATTTTTATTTATTTATTTTATGAACGGCTTCAGTCACAGCTAATTCACACAAAAGCCTACAGTCAATGCAAAATAACATAAGTGTACAATGGCAGACAATAACAGAAACAGAATATAACATTACAGTAAAACTTATCATTTCTATAACATTCTGTACACCAGAAGCTCAACAGCACTCAGATCCCAAAGGCATTCTGGAATAGCAAAGTGTTTATGACTTGGCAGACCAAGAGATTAAGCCGAAATTTCATATACATGCCAAACAGGATGAGAGATGCCCGAACTTTGAATCATCTCATAATGTAAAAGCTAAAGCCCCAAATTCTCTCTCCTATGCCCAATGACAATTGATGGGAAAAAGAATCACCATAAGGAGCAGAATCACCATAAAATGATGCCATCAGCTCCCAACCTTCATAAGTGGTCCAGAAGAATTCTATATTCAACAGTATCAAGTTCTGAAAAATGTCAACGTTCATTTTGGGACTGGCTTAGTTGGGGATGCTCATATTTTATTCAGAAAATTGTGGTTCTTGAACTTATTATTGGCTCAATATGCGTGGCACTGTGGATCTGTTTTTATTTTCTATTGGGAAAAAAGACAGTGGTCTCAAAGTGGAGGATTTTATACCAGCTATGATCAAATAACTTCCCATTGAGATTGACCAGTGACCACCCCTCAGGAACGGAGAATCTATTAGACCAGGGCAGCATGGAAATATATTGTAGAAAGTTCTGACAGGTTTTATACTGCAAGCTTTTTTAAAAATTGTGTCAGTTCAGATAAAGATAAGAACAGGCCAGTTGAACAATAATTTTTGAGTGTCGTTATCTTCAATGTCAAACCCATTCAGTTGTTTGCTATGTACCTCAGTATTTGCAAAAGAGCAAGTTAGAAGTGACTGGAATGAAGGTAAAGGAAAACTCAGCTCTGAACCAACTCTGAACTCATTATTGAGCCAACTTTGTGGTAGTGAAGAAGGTGAATAATCTTTGTTTCCTTTATTATTGCATATTTGCAGTATCACTACTGGAATTTTCTCAGAGTGGTTTGGGGAATCCAGCCCAATGAGAATTCAAAACTTCAGCAGCTCATTGAGACATGTTGGGTAAATACTTTGAAAGCAAACTATTTGATCAAATTAATTATACTTAAGACTCTGCAATTCTAATACTTGAATTTGTGAAAGTATCCAGGGCCATCTCTCTTTCTTGGAATCACCTTGTTTTTAAGGCCCATTGATGTCAATAAAGTGTTTGCAAAAACTTGGTTAACCTTATGTTATGCTGTCCTTTGTTCCTCATGGCTTATTACATTTAGTAATAGCTCACCTCAGTCACTGAAGCTATATATTTCTCCCCTGTAGAAAGATTGGTTCCAACCTCATTAAATGAAGCCATTGTGAGACCAATACATTTTATCCTCCATGTTGTTCAATACCTATATGAAATCACTGAGTAAATAATTTAGTGATTTATTTATTTTATTTATTAAATTTTTATACCACCCCCTCTCCCGAAGGACTCGGGGCGGTGAACAGCCAAGATTAAAAAACATATAATATAAACATTAAAATACATTTAAAAGAAAATTAAATCCAAAATGGCTCCCCAATTTAAAACGCCTTACCCATAACCCTATAATTAAAACAAATTTAAAATTTCTGCATTTAAAAGGGGGAAGATTTAGGCCAGGCCGGCTTGATGAAATAGAAGAGTCTTAAGTGCGCGGCGGAAGGTGCACAGATCCGGGATCCTCTGTATCTCCAGGGGGAGCTCGTTCCAGATCTTAGGTGCCCCCACAGAGAAGGCTCTCCCCCTAGGGGCCGACAGCCGACATTGTTTGGCCGACGGCACCTGGAGGAGCCCCTCTCTATGGGAGCGTACTGGCCGGTGGGAGGCTATTGGTGGTAGCAGGCGGTCCCATAAATAACCAGGTCCTAAGCCATGGAGCACTTTAAAGGTGATAACCAGAACCTTTTAGAAAAAGTGTTGTGTCTTCAGAATATTGGTAAAACCCAGCTCTATTTCTCCTTTTATTCATATCTAGTGAGGTACAGGAATTATTAAATAAATATCTGGCTGCAGTACTGAACAAGATAACAACCAAAAAGTGAAGTTCAATCCAGTTAAGACAGAAATGCTGTTAGTAAATGGTTTATTGATCTAATGGTGTTCAATTTGTTCTAAAAGTTGCATATCTCTAAAAGGATCACATTTATAGCTTTCGCTGCTTCTGGATCAGTCTACTACATTAGCTGTTAGACGTTTTCTGTGGCATGAAGGACAGTATTTTTTATCAGCTTAGGGCCAACTATGCCTCTACTCAAATATAAATAGCTTTCAGACAATTGAAGCTAACATGGCATTGGCATTTGTATTTTTAAAGAAGTGAAATAAAAAGCACCAGCAAAAATATAATGGTTAAATAGTAAAAAAAAAGAAAAACTAAATACATAATAGTGATTAAAATGAGTTGAGATTTTCACCTGTGCAGAGAAATTAGTGTGTGTGTGTGGGGGGGGGGGGGGTTAAGAGATCCATATTACTACAGATAACAGAATAAATTAATTAAATCCTGACGTTTATAAGATCTAAACCCTATCAAAACATATTCATCATCTTTTCATTTTAAAAAACAAGACAATTTGGAACTAAATAATAAACTCATGCCCTGGACTCACTCCTTAAAATCAAAACAATATATTTTTTACACTTATTCCCAAAAATATCCTCTATGGTGTATTCCAAAATTCTTCGTGAGATGACAAATACCATAGTTTAGAATTAAAGTTCAATACCACTATAATATTCCTTCCAAAACTTGTATTAACATTCGTAGTAATATAAAACCAAAACAAGGCACTAGCTGGACTAGACAGATCATAGTGGAAAAAAAATATACAAAATCTAATGCCCTTCCCCTTAGTATTGAGTGGGGGTATCCAATAAATGTAAAATATTTTCTGATGAAATAATTTTATTTTTAAATCATAAAATTTGCAAACATACTTCACATTTGGAAGAAGTCTATTTCATGTTTCTTAATTCTTTATCACATACACCTTTAGAACACAATGGCATGGAGATATGAGGCACTAGGGAATTGTAAAATCAATAGCCACTACTGTTCCAAAGGTGCTTTTTCAAGAGGCAAGTGGACTTTCTGGTTTTTCTTTGAAGACATTTTGTTTCTCATCCAAGAAACTTTTTCAGCTCTCTTGGATGAGAAGTGAAACCTCTTCAAAGAAAAAGAAACCTCCTCAAAGAAAAACCACAAAGTCCAGTTGCCTCTTGAAAAAGCACTTTTGCGACTGCCATGACCTGGATCACTGAAAATCTCCATAAACAAATAGCCACTATTATTATAAATTCATATACAATTCATATAAAATTGATAGTAGTATTTTTTTAAAAAACCTGGATTATCGTATTGAGACATTATATCTACGTAATGATATAACCTGGAATTAGCGTTCCTGTGGAAGGGAAGTAAAGCAGTCATGTATTTTGGAAAAAGCACAATTTTGTGATAAAACATGCAGATTTGAGTCTTTTAAAAGAACAGAAGGCGAAGCCCGCAAAGAAGCCCGTATCATAGAGGGACGGTTTTGGAGTTTGGCTCTGTCAATTAGACTGTGGTAAAACAGTCATTTCCGGATTTCTGAAAACGGGAAAGACAGAATGTGTGTTTGACACAACATACGCCTAGCAATGAGCCACAAATACAGGACGGCCAGACTTTCGGAGGGGACGAGAGCAAGAATTGGAGTGAAATTTTAAAAAACGCAGGGCAACGTAATTCGAACTTTCGCAATAGTTTGACTTACTCACCGCCCTGTTTCCCCGACAACTGGTCGCAGGGAAGCCCTTAGTTAAGCCTACTGTCCACCGGGGGATTCCCGACATTAGTCTTTATCGCCCGCCCCCTATGCAGTTCCGCGCCCTTATTTCTGGCGCCCTGGAGATTCATTCTTTGAAAGGAAGAATAAAACGAGTGGAAGTTCCCCTGTGATGTTTGGGAACGTCTTTTCCCACCTGGGTCCGAGAATCTTAGTGCTCTTCTCGCTGTTTTCCGGAGTCCTGGGTAAGTAGCTAGAAGGATTGGAGGGGATGAGGGAACTGCGTCTCTTCGCTTGGACGGCCACTTACTCGACGGTTAGCCAGCCGGTCTCTGCTGCCTTCCCATCCTCCAAATGACGGTTGTTTCGAAAAAAGGATGTTTCTCTTCCGTTCTCGTCCCTGTTTCCCTTCCGTTCAGACAATAATCTTCAAAATATAATCATAGGAGAGAGTCTCTGATCACGATTATTATTTCACATAAAGATCGATACGAATGGAAAAGAAAATGCAGTTTATGTTCTGTGAAGCCAGTTATTAATACTCGTGTTTCCCCGAAAATAAGACCCTGTCTTATATTTTTTTGAACCCTGAAATAAGCGCTTGGCCTTATTGCCATGTGCTCAAAAGCCCAATTGGGTTTATTATCAGAGGATGTGTTATTTTGGGGGAAACAGGCAGTGGTGGGTTTCAAATTTTTTTACTACTGGTTTAGTGGAGTGGCTTAGTGGGCGTGGCATGGCTTGGTGGGTGTGGCTTGGTGGATGTGACTTGGTGGGCATAGCTGGGGAAGGATACTGTAAAATCCCCATTTCCTCAGGATCAGCTGGGACTTGGGAGGCAGAAAATAGATGGGGGTGGGGCCAGTCAGAATTTTTACTACCAGTTTTCTGAACTACTCAAAATTTCTGCTACGGTTCTCCAGAACTGGTCAGAACCTGCTGAAACCCACCTCTGGAAACAGGGTATTAGTTCTCACCAAGCAATGATGTGAACTCTCAGGACACCAAATATAAATTTACCAACCTTGATCTCATCCCACCTTTGTTTACATTTGCTTCTACTTGTTGTAAAATGCTTCTGCCTGTAAAGCAAGTATTTTGGGGGGGGAGGGGGATGACAAAATGGTATATAACTTGGAGTTATTTTGGAACTGTGAATCACTCTTTAAATACCCTGAACATAACCCAGTTATAGTTAATTGCATCTGCTGCAGTTCTGGATTCTGCACAGGCACAAAAGAGTCATTAAAATTTTGAACTGTTTATGGTTAGGCGTACTACATGAGGAAACCAATAGTTAAATTTTCAGTGCTTTAGCACCTTCATGTAACCTTAATGCATGTCCATCTTTGGAATACTGTGTATAGTTCTCATTGCTACATTTGGAAAAAATGTAATAGAGCTGAAAAGGGAATTCAAAATAAATGTTGAGATTATTTAGCTCTGAAAGAGAGTGACTGATGGGATCCATAATCAATGTGTCTAAAAATCACACTTGTCGGAGTGTGGACAGGGAGAAGTTTTCTCTTGCCTTAAATAGAGATTACCAATGAAGCTGATTAGAAAGACATTTAGAACAGACAAAAAAGTACCTTTTCACACAATATATAATTAAGCTGTGAAATTCATTGCCACAAAATATGGGACTATTAATTTGAAAAGCTTAAAAAGGGGACAAGAGAAATTCCTGGAGGGCAGGTCTATCTGGACTATTGTATTATTCAACATTATCTTCAGGTTGGGATAACATGCCTGGCAATATGAGTTGCAGGGGATCAACAACAGGAATAACATATGTCAGCATCTCTTGGTTACAAGCACCACAGAAGCATCTAAACTAAGATGAACCTTGTGCTGATTCAGGAGGGCTATTATAATCTTCTCATCAAACATTATTATACATCCTGTAGAAAGATCAGGAGGAAGTTGGGAAAAAGTGCCTCATAAATTTGCAGAGAGAATTTTAAAAAATGAAATTAGCCAGAGGTTACCATCTCCTGTCAAACTCGATGTATTTCAGAATATTTCAGAATATTAATAGGTCTGGAGAGAGAAAACAAGAACCTATCCCCTCTGAAGTGTTCTCCATTCAGATAGATGTTGGAAGTGTTGGTCCGACATGGTCCGACATGGTCATTTTACTGCCTGTGCTCTAAATTTACTTTCCTGGTTTAGAACTATGGGGGGTAAATAAAACTAGTGCAGATGAAACAAAACTTCATGGTACTCCAATTATCTTGAAGAGACAACTTCAAGATACACTAGGCATTGACTTACTACTCAGCCACTGTGATGGAATATCTAGCAGGCCTTAAGAATACAAAGAAGGAAGGAAGGCCATTGCAGAAAAGATTTCTTAGTCCAGGAGAGAGGGGAAACATGAGAAAGAGTTTGATAAATGCAAGGTAATATGGAGAGTAGCTTTGGCAAGCTTTCAGGTTTCTGCTACAATACTGTACTGGCAATAAATATTTCCAGAGATCCAAATGGTTCTTGTTTCCTGAGTTTGACTGCCTCAGTGGATTTGACAGCCAACTTTACTGGACTGTCATCTTATCTGAATGAGAAAGCAAAGATGCAGAGAAGTCTGAAAAGCCACAATCTTAGAATGTTTGGAGTACCTTCGTAATGTTTTTTGGCTAAAAAAAACCTTAAAATGGGGTATGATTACCCAGCTGGTGCCATCGCTGGCTATTGGGGGCGAGTCATTGACCCCCACAGAGGGGGCTCGCAACTTGGGGGTCCTCCTGGACACATGGCTATCTTCAGAAGAGCATATGACGGCCGTGGCCAGGGGGGCTTTTTATCAGGTTCGCCTGATACGCCAGTTGCGCCCCTTTCTGGATCGGGACTCCTTATGCACAGTCACCCATGCCCTCGTCATGTCTCGCCTGGAGTACTGCAACACTCTCTACATGGGGCTCCCCTTGAGGAGCACCCGGAGGCTCCAACTGGTCCAGAATGCAGCCACGCAGGTGATTATGGGAGCAATGTGGCGCTCCCATGTAACACCTCTCCTGCGTGAGCTGCACTGGCTCCCGGTGGTCTTCCGGGTGCGCTTTAAGGTGTTGGTTCTCATCTTTAAAGCGCTCCATGGCTTAGGGCCAGGGTACTTATGAGACCGCCTGCTGCTACCGATAACCTCCCACCGGCCAATACACTCTCACAGAGAGGGACTCCTTAGGGTGCCGTTGGTTAAGCAATGTCGCCTGGCGGACCCCAGGGGGAGAGCCTTCTCTGTGGGGGCACCCGCCCTGTGGAATGAGCTACCTCCTGGAATATGACTGATCCCAGACCTCCGTACCTTCCGTAAAGCCCTGAAGACTTATTTATTCCAGCAAGCCGGCCTAGCCTAAATGGTTTTTAATGGGATTTTTAAATTTTATAGACTTGGGGTTTTAAATTGGGAGGCCGATTGATTTAATTTCTTTTAATTATCTTAACTTTTGTATTGTATGTATTTTAATTTTGGCTGTTCACCGCCCTGAGTCCCTTTTGGGAGAAGGGCGGTATACAAATTAAATTAAAATTTTAAAAAAATGATTTGACAACTCAATGTCCATCTGCGGGGCATGGTTGACCAGGTGGAATCTATGGCTGGAGGTTCTCATTTTTCCCATAAGGTCTGCTTCTCAGAAGACACTGATAATTCTTTTATCAAATGTTCCACTAGTAGTAGACTAGTATTTGAAAGTACAACCTTCATTTCAATAATAATTTTAAGGAGAGGGTGTGTCTGTTATTTCTGAATGTTTGTTAAATTCAAACTTACATCATTCACATAAGTTTACACCATTTACATACTTATGGCATGAGGCAAATAATGGAAATTGATGGAAATAAAATACTTTAAGTGAATATTTTAGACACAAGTATGTAGGATATGGGTTCTGGTACTATGCTGATGAAAAAGACATACGGTCTTCCCTAATAGTTTTTCCTACTATTTCACATATATACCCAGAAAGTTCCTGAATTCAAGCCACATATCTATTTCCAGAGTAATTTATATTTCATTAGGTAAATAGTTATTTGCCTAGAATGACTTAGTGTAGTATTCCCCAGGCAGGGGTTCCTCCAGATATATATTATACACTTAAATTCACAAAATTTTCAGCAATAGAGAAGTCTCAGCAATTCTCAGTTGTGTTGCCTTTGGATTTTGAGGGCTGATTCTCAGAGCTAAAAGGATGGCTGACCTAGTAAACTTGGTTCAAATTTGAACATAGATTTGAGAGTTGGACCATAAGGAAGGCTGAGCACTGAAGAATTGATGTTTTTGAATTGTAGTGTTGGAGAGGGACTCTTAAGAGTCCCTTGAACCGCAAGAAGATCAAATCAGTCAATGCTAAAGGAAACCAATCCTGACTGTTCTTTGGAAGGACAGATACCGAAACCAAAGCTAAAATACCTAAGGAGGACTCATTGGACAAGATCCTGGTGTTGGGAAAGATTGAAGACAAAAGGAGAAGAGGACGGTAGAGGATAGGATGGTTAGATAATGGTATTGATGCAATGAACTTGAATGTGGGCAAACTCCGGGAGACAGTGAGGACAGGTAGGCCTGATGTGCTATATGGTCCATGGGGTCATGAAGAGTTGGACCCAACTTTGTGACTGAATAACAACAATAAATTTACTGTTTTATTGTGCTGATTTCATGGCTGAAAACATCGTTTGAAGCTAGTAATATAGTAAAGTAATAAATAAATTCCAATTAATAAACAAAATTCATTCTTTATTGCATACAGCTATTATAAATATATTATGATATATTATATTACAGTGGTTCTCAACCTGTAGTCCGTGGACCCCTGGTGGGGTCGCTATGTCATCACAGGGGGTCCAGGAAGGCTTGAAGAAATGTTATGATTTAAATGTTAAGTCTTGGGGCTCCATGGCCATGGTCCACGGTCACAAAAGGTATTTAAAAGAAGTCTGTGGTGAAGAAAAGGTTGAGAACCACTGTTCTATTATATAATCGAAAATATTGCAGAGCAAACTAGCTGCATATTGACTAAAATTAATGTTTTCTCTTTAATTAGGTGACTGTGGACCTCCACCAGTATTGAAAAATGCTAGGCCATTTGATCCTATTAAATCTACTTACAAACCTCATGAGTCAGTAGTCTACACATGTCTTCCTGACTATAGAGAGGATCATACCAAACCATACATGACAGTTTGTTCTCCAGACAAAGGATGGAAGCCATTGGAAGAGTTTTGTGAGCGTAAGTTTTTAAAATCTTCTTTATATTTTCTTGTTATATCACCTGTGGCTTATTAAAAGGAAGGGAGTAATTAAGAATTATCTAGTACTTAGGCTATTTATTTATTTATTTGATTTACAAGGATATAGAGGCACATTTCCTGAATTCTGTTTCTCTCCTTTACTTCCCTACCTCCTCACTCTCCTGCTCTGTTCTTCTTTCTCTTGCTTCCTCTCTACTTCCTCTTCCCATTTTTCTGTTCCTTTTTTCCATGCCTCTTTTTTTTTTACCCTTATTTGTCTTTTCTTCTCCTCCCACCCCTGTTCCCCCTTTTCAATTTTTTTAAACATTAGATTTTGATGACACTGCCTGGCAGTTGCTCCTTCTTCCAACCTGTTCCTTCTTCTCTTTTGGTCTCCCCATACTTCTTTTCCTGGTGTGGAAAAAGGGGTTCTGTTCAGCTTCAGTTATTACAGTAGTGGAAGTCATATGTGGAACAGGTTTCTTTGAAGATGGGTCATTCACACTCTTGTCATCTCCCAATTGGATTACTTAAATTCACTGTACACGGGGCTACCTTTGAAGATCAAGAAGAAATTTGAGCTGGTCCATTATGCAGTGGTCTGTATGTTCACTGGCCAATCTCAGTACTCGCATTTTACACTGCTGCTACAGGATATATGTTGACTGCCAGTGTATTCCTGAATGCAAGTTAAGATTCTAGTTGCTACCGACTCCTCCCCCATGATGGCTGGCTGAACAGAGGGTGATTTTTTTTCTCCTACCAATGAACAACTGATTTTGCCACCAAAGCTGATTATTTGGTGGCCTTGCTCTCCATTTTTGAAGGGGAGACTAGATAGGACCCAAGACGACATTCAGACAATCATGCACAAACAAACAGAGAAGAGGTCTAGATGCCCACAGTTCTCAATAAGGAGTGATCAGAAGGTCTAATCTCTTATCACCTTTTCCCTTCAGCTGCTCATTTTTCTTGCCTGGGATTTAATTGCACTTTTTGAAGTTTTAAAATCTCTTAATTTATGACTAGTTGACTTCTGATCTATTTTGTAACCCCTTGCTGGACATTTACACCTTTTTTTCTGATCTTTTACTATTTACTATTAAGTTCTAAGCTATGTTTTAGCTGTAAGGAAGTTTGCAGTGGAATTTATATTTACGCAGGATTATACTATAAATTTTGCTTGTTCTATAGCTTTTTCTTCTTTTTTCTTTTAAAACACCCCCTGATATTTATCTCTTAAATTTTTGATGGAAAAATCCCCCCTTTTTAAACCCTGGGTGGGGGAGCCTTTCCCTGTAGAAGCTCTTCCAATTTATCTGTTTCTCTTGTGCTTGAAGAGAGAACAAAAGTATTTCTCATGCCTCTAAAAGGAGATAAGATTTTTTGGGAGACATCTGAAAAAAAGGCTTCCAACTTACAGGTTTTATTTGAAAATATAAACAACAAATTCAATGGGTCAATAATGGTTTTGCAAACTCAAGATGACATCCAAAAGTAGGAAATAATCTTGCAATTTGAGCAAATAGAACCTGATCTTTGCTGTCAGATGCAAAGAGAAAGTGTTTGGTTTGAAAAATATACATCTGGCCGAAAAGATTGAAAGGAGAATGAATGTAGGAAATTCTGAGCTAATGGATATAATGAAGGATAGACTGGACTTTCTTGGCAAGAGGAATGTAATGTTGTCAAGGAGAATAATTCAACACTGGACGTTGCAGAGAGATATTTATATCAGAGACATATGAACTTTGGAAATGAGATGCAATTGTTGGGAAAGTTTCCAATTAAAAACCTAAGGAAAGATTTCACTATTAAGAACCAAATAAGAGTATTTAAATAAATAAGAAACCCCTGTAGACTTTCTAAGAGATAATTGCGATAACAGATTGTTAGCAGATTACTTTGAATTTAAACTTTGCTGTTGTTTAACATGTTAACTATTTTTCCTTTCATATATATAATGTATCAATTGGGTTGCAAATAGATGTACAAGCTTATAAATTTTGAACTAGTTTTTAAGGAGGGAAACTATTATTGTTGCAATAAATGTGTCTGTTCAACTGGGGGAGATAATATGTTTTTATCCTTTATTTCTTTTCAATTCACATTTTTAATGTTTTTGTTTAGTTTTATTTTGTCTCTTTATTTTTTTTCTTTTGTATTTTAATCTATTAAACTGAACTAATATATAGATGAATTTCTCATCTCATTTTAAAAACTTAATTAAGACATGTATACTAAGTGGAGATTCCATCCTTTTAACAATCTTTTTTATAAAGATATAAAAAAAGATTGATATGAAGTATTAATATCATTTAATATCAAAGCAAGCAAAAAGGCATGTACCCATGTAATATCAGTTGAAACACTAACCTGAAATACAAAAGTGGGACAAAAAAAGTGGGAAGAAATAAATACAGTGATACTAAAAGTAATCAAATATGGTATGGCAGTGTCTTCCTTCCACCTGTCCAGTTTAATAAACAATTTAAGTACAGGTAGACATGATAGCAATATTCCAGTATTTGAGGGGCTGCCACGAAGAGGAGGGGCTCAATTTATTTTCCAAAGCACCAGAAGGCAGGAAGACAAGAAACAACAGATGGAAAATAATCAAGGAAAGAAGCAACCTGGAATTAAGGAGGAACTTCCTAACAGAGAGAGCAATGAACCAGTGGAACAGCTTGCCTTCAGAAGTTGTTGGTGTTTCATCACTGGAGGCTTTTAAGAAGAGACTAGACACTCACTTGTCTGAAATGGTTTAGGATCTGGATTAGAAGACCTCCAAGGTCCCTTCCAGCTTTATTCTGATTCTGATAATGAAGCCTTTCCATTACAGTCATAAGTTGTGGAGTTGTTAAGTGAGGCATCCTCGTGATCACCTTGCTAAATGATCACAATCCTTGCTTTCCATGTTACAGTCATTAAGTGACAGTGTGGGTTATTAAGCAAAGCATGGGATGTCTCAGGCATAAGGGATCCTCAACCTCCCTTATGGTTGAGACACCCAAAACTGTTCTTAACCCACATTGTCACGTAATGATTGTAACATGGAAAGCAAGGATTGTGGTCATTCAGCAAGTACAATAAGAGCCAAATATAAAAAAGCTTAACAACCGAATACAAACAATAACAAAATATAAACAAAATAATGTTTTTTTCTCTAAAAGAATTTCAATAAAAGGCAGTATATTTTTCATCTTCCACATTTATGAAATCTGTTCTAAATACTGTTTAATAGTTTCCAAACACAGATGGTATGAACCTGATAAAACATTAAAGATCCTTATCTTGAACAACATTTCTTCCTGTTTCAGACATCTTTCTGTATTATTTTTTTATTACCTCCTTTCAATATCTGCACTGTGATTTGGTTTTCATCATTCCTTCAACCACATTCCCCTGGCCTAGTGTCATTCTATGGAGTCACCTGGGTGGGGCAATCAAAATCAGAATGAAGCAAGAAATGTAGACTCATTTCTTGGGTGTGAGATTGCTGCCAGGAAGAGGTTAAATATAGCAGCTAGTGTCTTGTATGCCCTTTCTTCTATCAGTTGTCAACCCATAATAAATATACATAACACATATTTTAACAAGTAAAAAAAAGTTTTAAAAAACCTTTCTTATATAAACTTTCATCTGCTTTTGTTCACAGGTGGCTGTGAGGGTCCATATGCAACCAGATTTAGCATAGTGGAGGAATTTCTTCCTTTTTATCCTGTCGGAACAGTTGTGCACCATGTTTGCCACCGAAGCGCTGAGCACATTCCTGGTCATCCAAAAAGGCCTCCTATTACTTGCCTTTCGGATTATACTTGGTCACCAGTCCCAGTTTTTTGTAAAGGTCAGGATCTTCCATTGAAACTACCTTCAAAACTGCATTGAATAATTGCTGATTCATTTGGTAATGATTTCGCACAGATATGATCCTACAAAGGCCAACTGATGTGTGCTATTAATTAATAATATTTATAATGGTGAGTTCCTGAATTACACTTCTGAGGCTCTTAAAAGACTTATAGATACACACTATATTTTTAGTTTGGTTGATATCATATGCAGCTTTATTGGCATCTTTATTTTTTTATTACCCTTAAAATATTTGCTTTTTGAGGAACTGCTTACTGATTGGCTGTGAACTGTAATTATAGCATATGTTTTTCGTCTCATGGAATACTGGTGGATATTGACTAATTTTTTATCCTTTTATGAAATATTTATTCAGATTTATTATTTTATTTCTGCCAGAAACCTGAGCACTAGGAAATGTGAGGGTTGATGGCTCTGATTCAGGTTTGAATAATATCTTCCTTAGTGAGAAAGGAGAATCTAAGCGTGATCTAGGGTGGTTGATTATATTCATCTTCAAGCACAAGTAATTGAGATAATGTTTTCTGTTTATAGGGTGCTAGTGACACTTACAAAATGTAAGCACTTCCGTTTGATACTCATTAATTTATAATTTTTATTATTATCATTATTATACAGTATGTCTGCATTTATAGTTCAAGTTAGGCCTAATGCCTATTACTATTTTCCTCTTGATATGTAATTTAAGTTCCAGAATGGAGATCAGTGATTTTATTTAATTATTTATTTACTTTATTATTCCATAATAATAAAGTAATTAATATAGCTACTCATATATATGACTTCAGGTGGGTAACAAACAAATAAAACAATATGAAACAATTAAACAACACAACAAAAACAATGCAATATACCGGCAATACAATAAAATCAGAGGAAAAAAATGAGGGATTACAAAACCAATAATTTTTACAATAATTCAGTAAGCGATTGAAGATACCTGGTATATTATATAATTTCAAACCTGAGTATCATTATTAAACTTTATACAGAATACAAATATTGGAAGCAACAGACAGCTCAGTAAAATGATAAATAGTGATAAATTATTTTCTTGAAAAAAGGCGACACTATATTAAAAAGAAAAACAAAAATGACCAAAAGACATTTTTATTATCATCATCATCATCTCTTTTATTCATTAAACATGAAACTCAGTAAACTGAACATTTAAAAATGTATTACAAATATCATTGATTGGCGCTGATGATTGATACGGGTTGCTGCCAGCATCCTAAGTATCAACCAAGTATCTTTTTAAAATGTACGATGTTCCAAGTATTGCTGTTTTTTGCAGTTCTGCTGGTGTTATTGCAGGAAGCTGCAATTTCTTGATGTATTTTATAAAATTCTTGGACATGGTACCATGTGCCCCAATGACAATGGGTATCACTGTTTCATCCATAATCTCATAGTTTTGATGGCCAGGTCACGATATTTCATGATTTTTTCCACTTCTTTTGCTTGGACTTTGGTGTCTCCTGGTACAGCGATATCAGTAAGTTGTACGGTTTTCAACAACCGTGATATCTGGCATGTTGTGTTCCAAATGACAATCTGTTGTTGTTGTTGTTATACACAACAATGGGAAATCACAGCTGCTAGCTCTTTAACTAGTATTGGCCTTCGTATGCATTGAGTTTTTTCAAGAATCTAGGATGCTGTTATATATTGACATAGCATATTGGTTATCTAAGCAGTGTGGCCTTTTGTAATTGACAAATGGAGATTTTGTCAATGTGCAGTCAAAGTGCAAGAATTTTTGGTATGGTGACTAGTGGGCCGATAACCAATAGCCACTGAGAATAACATAGCCAGTTTATGCCCATAATCTTTTAACTATGATTTTCAGATCTTGATACTCTGCTTCTTTAATACTTTGTCTTCTAACCTAGTATCTCACCCTATTGCTGCATCAGTTATCCATGTTTTCTTTTTTTTTTTAACCACAGATAAATCTGGAATGTTTATCAGTTTTTATTCAGAAACCCCACAATATTTTCAACTACTTTTTCTACTGTATGTTCTAGGGGTGGATTCTACTTACCTTTACTACCGGTTCGCAATGGGATCACGTTAAATTAGCTTGTCTTTCCAGTATGACTGTTCTCCCAAGAAAATGTATAAGCTTTTTTTATGACTGATTGAAATGATCTTTTATTGCTATATATGTACAGAGCCATATATGCACAGAGCCATAGAATAATACTAATTCTCAATATTTTTTTTCCTATTACCTAGGAAAATCATGCGGTGATCCAGGGAGACCAGAAAATGGTGACCGTATTATTCTAACAGACTTCCTGCTAAAAGCAGAAGTAAATTTCACCTGTAATAAAGGGTGTGTGTTAAATTGGCTTAGCAAAGTCTAATTATGATACAAGTAGTCCTTTATTTTAGACAGCAATTGAGAGTGGAATTTTTGTTGCTAAGTGATGCACTTGTAAAGCAGAAAGACTCAGAGAAAGGGTGCATGAATGGCAAGACAGATGTAGCAAGGCTCAGGGAGGGCACGTGGAGATTGCAAGTGGTCAACATGGCATGAGCACAGTAAATAGTAAATGAAAAAGGAATGAATAAAAATAAAGGATTAATAAAAAAAAAGATTTTTTTCATGATTTGTTTTCCCAAGTTTTCTTTGCTGTGGATGAGAACTTTTATAGTGGAGTTGGACTTTTTTGCCACTTGTGAAATGAATAGATTTCTTCTTACCAATGTAAGCAAATATGAAAAAGGAAGGAAGGAAGGAAGGAGGGAGGGAGGGAGGAATAGAATAGAATAGAATAGAATAGAATAGAATAGAATAGAATAGAATAGAATAGAACACAACACAACACAACACAACACAACACAACACAATTCTTTATTGGCTAAGTGTGATTGGACACACAAGGAATTTATCTTCGGTGCATAAACTCTCAGTGTACATTAAAGATATAACTGATAAATCATGATCATAGTCATCATAAATACATTCATCATGAATCCTAAGATACAATACTTAATCATAGGATACTAAATAAGCTATCAAAATCATACTAGGAAACTAAATAAAACTATACATCGTAAAGATACAAGCAACAAGATTATACTCATAAGTAGAAAAGAAGATAGGTAATAGGAAGGATGAGAAGGATAATAGTAATAGTCTTAGTAAATAGTTTGACAGTGTTGTGCGAATTAGTTGTTTAGCAGAGTGATGGCATGTGAGAAAAAAACTGTCCTCATGTCTAGTTGTTCTGGTGTGCAATGTGCCAGCGCTCTGGACACAATGCTTTATGACATCGTTTTGAGGGTAGAAGTTGAAACAATTTCTCTCCAGGATGGGAGGGAGGGAGGGAGGGAGGGAAGGAAGGAAGGAAGGAAGGAAGGAAGGAAGGAAGGAAGGAAGGAAGGAAGGAAGGAAGGAAGGAAGGAAGGAAGGAAGAGGATCTATCTGGTAACCCTCTCTGCTTACATATTCTTCATGTCTCCCAATAGTGTACCCATCACTGCTGTAATTGAGACATCCTCTTTTCTCCTATCCCAGAAACATGGACTTCTCAAGGGATCTGTTTCTTCACATAATATTTCCAAAATGTTGTAATTTGACCCTGATAATTTATGCTTTAAATAAGGCAGTAAACGTCAATAATACATATGTTTTCTTGGCTATCCATGGTATTTTCCAATCTTTTGAAAGAGAAAGAGATTAAAATGTATTATGTTCTTTTTCTTTTCTTGAGGTACCAATTAATTGGATCACCTACAAGCCAATGCTTATCACGTTCACGTTCTAATAATACAGTCGTATGGAAACCAAACCCTCCAATATGTTTCAGTAAGATTCTTTAATTCTTTCGAACAGCCTGGGCCCAGGATTTGCCTGGGGATTGTAGCGGGGGACTGAATGGGTATGAAATGCTTAGAACAGTCTGGGATCCCACTGGAGCACCTCTAAATTTAGCAGCTCCTCATACTAGTTTCAGATGCTGAGAAATTGGATTAAGGCTAATATAGGGAACTAGCTGTCATGTGAGCATTTATGGCTTTTTTCCTTCCTTCCTTCCTTCCTTCCTTCCTTCCTTCCTTCCTTCCTTCCTTCCTTCCTTCCTTCCTTCCTTCCTTCCTTCCTTCTTTCTTTCTTTCTTTCTTTCTTTCTTTCTTTCTTTCTTTCTTTCTTGGATCTTGGATATGGATGGGTGGGTGGGTGGACAGACGGACAGACAGACAGACACAATCCAGTTTCCTCTCCTAGAAAAAATAATTGTCCATTTGTTTTGGCAGATTTTTTACCAATCACAAAATTTTGTCTGTGTTTCAGGGCCCACTTGTCCTCCTCCTTCAGATATAAGGAATGGAGCTTATACTGGAGGAAAGAATGGAACTTTCCCCCTTAACTCAAATGTAACCTATATCTGTGATCTTGGCTTTTCACTTTCTGGGGATAATCTTCTGCATTGTATAACTGAAGATAATAAAACTGGGATCTGGAGAGGGTCTGTTCCTGAATGTAAAGGTAAAATATAACCTCAAGGTTTTTTTTTACTAAGTTGAATTATGTTTTACTTTTTAATCAGTAATTTTTATTATTTTTAGGAAAACAGGTAAAATATGAATTATTAAATTTGATGTTTTGTATAATATTTAATATTTTATGCTGAGATACTTTCCCAAGTTTACAAAAGAAAAAAAAAAGAAATACATTGAGTATGGCAGTGATGCTGTTCCACAGATAACATGGGCAGCTTCCGCAAAGAAACATACTTTGGAGTTTTGTTCCTTTTTCCCCATTAAAGCATTTTATACTAAGTAAGAAAAATTCTTTATCCCTTCCATATGCAAAATGACACTCCTGGATTTAACAATAAACATTATATATTTTGTTGAATACAACTATATGTAACAAACATATGTACTTAACTTAAGTGTAAGAAAATTAAAATATTTTAAATACTTTAATAAATATATAGTGCTATTCTAGACACAGCGTAATTTTTAACACTTGGCTTGCCATATGTATTAGCGTAAGAAATATTTTTTCATCAGCCTAGTATTAACTCTACCTTTATTGGATACTATCTAGCACTAAAAGCTTCCTTGGTATAATATAAGGAAATGTTTTCAAAGGATATCAGGTCATCAACTGGGAAAATAAATCCAAATCCAAATTTTAAATCGTTGAGTGTCCATGGAAAGTTGCATTTCTCTTTCAGTAGTCTCCAAAGAGCTATGTGTTCTGTCCCCGTCTCACACACACACACAAACAGACAGCCGGGGGTTAAATAAACTGGCAGACAACCAATTCTTCCGATAAGACGCTTGGCAGCAACCAGGGCTGTGGAGTCGGGAGATAAATGTTCCGACTCCGACTCTGACTCCGACTCCTCAGTTTTTTGTACTTCCGACTCCGACTCCGACTCCAGGTACCCAAAATTTCCTCCGACTCCTCAACTCCGACTCCACAGCACTGTCAGGGCTATGGAGTCGGGAGATAAATGTTCCGACTCCGACTCCTCGGTTTTTGTACCTCCGACTCCGACTCCAGGTACCCAAAATTTCCTCCAACTCCTCGACTCCGACTCCGACTCCACAGCACTGGCAGCAACCCAGTAGCTGCTTGCCAAGAACTTTTACTCAATAAACAAAATACCCACAGTCAAGAATTGTCCAGTTCGTAAAATAAATCCAAGGCCGATAATGTTGTTTCCAAAGATGCAATGTGACTCGATAGTAGTTAGTTTTGTCCGTCACAGAGTCTGAATGGCCACCTCACCCCTCTTTTATATCCTGTGGGGTGTGGTCCAGTGACTCAGCCTAATCTCTGGCACGCCTTTTCTTCTGTTGTGCGCGCTTATCTCTGCGACGCTGCCGACGATCCAGCCAAGTCTCATTACCCTCATCACTGTCCACCTGTGGCTGCGTGGACGTGCTTGGCCCCGGCCCTATCTCTTGCCCTTTGGCGGACACTGAAGGCATTGCCAGAGAGGAGGGTCCTGGAGAGGGAGGCCTTGCCAACTCCTCTCCTTCACTCTCGGAGTCCTCTCCTGCCGATTACACAGGGTCAGGTAACAGAGCCATAACACTATGTATGGGGAATCAGAGGCATAGTTTTCGATCCTGCAGAATTTCTTATATATCTCCCACCCATTTCAGAGGTATTTCTAACAATAACATTGGGTCTATGACAATTTGCCACAGCCAACTCCCCATGGTGAACTCACTGAAGGACAACTCACCATGGCCAACTTGCCACAGGACAACTCACTGTGGGACAAGAGTTACACTAATATCAAAGAAATATGGAATAGAATAATTAAAGAAAGAATGCAAAAGGAAGGACAGAATGAAATGTGAATGGCAAAAATTAAAATATTTTTTTATTTATTTTAAATAATTCAATAGAATTTATACAATTGCTTGTGCCCAGATGTGCAGGTAGTCCTTGACTTACAATCATTATTTAATGACTGAAGTTACCACAGCACTGAAAATACTTATGACTGTTTTTCACACTTATGACTGTTGCAGAATTCCCATGGTCACATGATCAAAATCTGGATGCTTGGCATCTGGCATATATTAATGTCTGCTTTTCTGTAATTCTCACTCTGCATCTTTATTCTATTCCGATCTTTCGCTTTTCTCTTTTTACCAATGGAAAAGTAAAAGTAAAGGTTCTTGGAGGGAAAAAAACGTTTATTTTTAGAAACATTTCTTCTGGAAAAATGGAAAAAATAGAGACGAAACATGAACTTTTTTGTAAGAAATTGAATGCAATAAGACAAAATGCCATGCATCAGTATCTTTTATTGACTCCCAATGTTTTCTATAATAGAAAACAGGAAGACCTTTCTCAGTATATCCAGTATCTTATTATTCCAGTATGCAGAAGACAACCTGTGCTTCCAGCAGGCATTGCCAATTTCACCAAAAAGGGAGCCTGATTTGCGTGTGAATTTTGTTGCTAACTTTTCAGAACCTCTAGAACACTAGTTAAAAGTTCTGGAAACTTATAATTTAATATAAAATCAAATTTTATACTTTAATATAAAATCAATTACCGGTAGTAAACATAATATGAACATTATTATATGAGCAAAGCAAATTATACTAGTGCATTGTATGTTCTTAAAACAGCAGTGTCAATTTAGATCAGTAAAGGACAGTGTAGAAATGGATACTGCATATAATTCTATTTTCCCCAACATTTCCATTTTTTTCCGAAGGCTTGTTTGTTTTGGTGGTTTCAACATTTTCAGAAAGGTTACGTCTTTATTCATGGGATGGAGCCTGTTAAGGGCTACTTATGTGACCTAATTGTAGTCTTTGGACTCAAGCTGGGCATCCCTGCTATATACTAAGGTATGTGTCCATTAACCTGTGTCACAATTTTTTATTTTATATGCTGGAGGCATATATTAAATGATACTTGGATAATGTATTATTCCAATGCTATCCAGTGGGGACTGCATTTATCATTCTTGAAATTATTTATTTATATCATTATCCTCCACAAATTTTTTGTTTGCCATCCCAATGCAACATTCAGCTTATCTATTGATTTGTCATGATCATCACCTCATTTTCTAGCAGCAAATGCTTGTTGCATTAATCAGGAAGTAATCTTATAAGGCTAAGAATACAGAAGGGTGTGGAAGTAAGCTTTTTTTTTTTTGTTACAACAATAGAGCGTCCACCCTATTTAGAAAGAACTAATTGTTTTTTTTTTAAATATGTGACCTATTGAACAGGATTGGTGCTTGTTTTATATCACACTAGAGGAAATCACATATTTGGTATCAGCTTTCCTGAAAGTCCATGTGTCAATGATTGTTCATAAGCTAAATTTATTTGAAACATCATCATGCATTCCTTTATTCAAACATAGATGACTCAATGGAAAGACTGAGTGCACATTTCCTTCCTTGAGTTAACTAATCTGTCTTCCCATTACAAAATGTTGATATAGCCTTCTCCAGATTATGCTGGATGCCACAGGATTTATATATTCATCAGCTTTGATCTTTGAGCTTGGAATTCCCAAGTTTTAGTCAGCCTTTCTCAGTTCTTGCCCAGCACATAGGTATAAAAATTTAAATTGAACTCAATGAAAAACTAATAGATACTTAACAATTTTGTCATCTTTCTATCGTAGAAGAGGGAGGCTTTGAAATTTGTTCAAATCATAGCTGCCTTACTTTTTAAACATCTAAAAATAGATTAAAGCATTAAATAAATACAATAAGGTATACTGTTAAGAAACTACAGAACAGCTAATGATAGATAAGAGAGAAAACCAAAATGTCTGGGCAAACAGATAAGCTTTTAATATATAGCAGAAACATTCCACAATTGGGTTCTGTGTGTGTCTACTGATGAACAGGTATGGGAGTTGATTTCATATGGTTTAGTACCATGTTTCCCCGAAAATAAGACCCTGTCTTATATTTTTAACCCTGAAATAAGTGCTTGGCCTTATTGCTGTGCGCTCAAAAGCCCGATTGGGCTTATTATCAGGGGATATCTTATTTTGGGGGAAACGGGGGACCATAATTGAGGATGCCCACTTCTGTGTTACAATATCAATAATCTACAGTACACTTATCAGGATGTAAGAGCTATTAGAAGTTATTAAAATCTTAGTTCAAAGTTGTTTAGGACCAGAGAAATCAACAGTGGTTTATTAAAATGACTGGATGGCTAAATGAATTAGTGCAGATCCTACAGAAATGTAGAATTGTGAGCCATTTGCAGCTTTTGAACTACCCTCAAGGAACCCCTAATTTCATTTTTAAGCGATTAACCCAAAACTATTTCTATCAGAAAAGGCTGGAGTTGTTGTATAAGCCAAAATTGTTAACAGGCTCTTCTACCCAGTGACAGGAATCCAGTAACAAGAGTAAATCCACAATAAACTTGATTAAGTTCTATTCTTACTAGGGGAATGCAATCCTCTCCAAAATAAATTATATAACTTCCAAGCTGTATTTATCTTGTTTCATAGTAGTGGCCAAAATTGTGGAAACAATTTGGAAAAAGTATATTTTTGAGGTTTGATGGCTAATAACACCACTTTTTTGGGGGGGAGTTTCAGAATAACCATATTCCACTGCTGGAATGGCCTGGGAATAGCCCAAACCTTAACCCAATTGAAAATCTATGGAGCCAACTAAAGAAACAGCAATAAAACCCAGCAATTAAGCAATAAATAAATGATTGCTTAATAGAAGCAATCATTCAGTCTTGGTTTCACATTATAACAGCTGCAGAACTAAAAGACTTGGTTCACTCAATGGGAAGATGTTGTAATTCATACTAAAGGTTACTCAACTATTAAATGATATGATAATTTTTGTATATCTCATTTTTTCTATGTGTTTCACTTTTCTTCTTTATACTGTAACTGCTACCCTGTTTCCCCCAAAATAAGACATCCCTTGATAATAAACCCAATCGGGCTTTTGAGTGCATGGCAATAAGGCCAAGCGCTTATTTCAGGGTTCAAAAAAAATATAA